AGTTCTCAGACCAGGAGGTTGGCCTTATTCCGATTCCAGGTAAAGGAACTGGCTTAGGGGCTTACCTGTCTTCAGCAGATTTTCCCTTTGGTTACTCAGGCATACTCTTATTTCCAGTTTAATGCCTATAAACAAACTCACCACTCTCTCCCACTGACTTTGATCCCATTTTTAAAAAAGAATCATCTGTCCCAAATCATGTTAAAAAGCGGGAGATTCTATCACAATATGGCAACACTTGGCTACCCCAATGGCTCAAGAAGGATCTTTTCTGTGTAACTTTTTGTAGTCCTGATGCTAACCATGCTCCATGCAGTATAAGCCAACCTCTCAGGAACATGTTTGTAGACACAGAGCCCCATCCCCATAACTCAGGACCCACCATATTCCCTCCACCCAGAGAACCATAGCTCAGTGGTTTCCCATTTTTTAAAAGGACTGAGTATTCCTAGCCTTTTTAAGAGGAAGTGTCCTTCAGTAGTCACTGTGGCAACAGATCAGAGAGGCTTCAGAAAGCCTGTCTGTACATAATTAAGGAAAACCAGGATGTGGACTGAAGACCCTGGCTCTGAGCCCTGCCACTGCACTTCCTAAGCACTTTGCAGAAGATGAAGATTTTCTTCCCCCTCTGACCTCCCTCTCTAATCCTCTTTAAACATTTTGTCTGATCTCAATGGGCCTCCTTCCTGAGGATTCTGCTCGGGGCCCTGGTTCTGACAAAATGCTTCCTGTAGGGGTAGGGCCCCAGTCCAGGGAGTGCACTGGTCCTAGGAAGTTGTCCTGGTGCCTTCCTCTAAGGAGATTTATTCAGAGGCCAAACCTGCTCTGGTCAGGCTCTTTATTCAGGCACGCAAAAGGCTGGTTAGCCTACTTGCAGGAGTGTGCTCTCATCATTGGGATGGAGCACAGGCCTGGGAACATCGTCACTGTAGCCACCCAGACACTGGGCCTGGCTTGCGGCCTGGAAAAGGCCTCCTGGGAGAAGGGACAGAAGCTATAAGCATTGGTAGGAGGCAGTCTGAGCTTGGGACTGTTTTATTTCTTAGCACTTATTCTTGCCTGAAATCATCTCCTTTATCTCCATGTTTCCTTCTTTCTTGTCAGTTTTTCTCCCCAGAATGTAAGCTCCATAGGAGCAGAAACCTGCCTGTTATGAGTTTTCTATCTCCCAGGTGCCTATAACAGTATTTGTTAAGACGTGAATGAGTGAATGAATGAGTGAGTGAATGAATGAATAATGAATGGAGTTCCAGTCGTTGTTTGTGGTCAAGACTCTGTCACCTCCACAGATATGCACTGCAAGCCCAGGCTTGTGCTGGGTGGGGAGGAGGTGAGTGGTGAGGGACACACAGCAGGGTATGCTCAGGTTTTCCTAGCTCTCCCAGTCCACTCGCCAAGGGAAGGCCATCCCTGTCTCAGAGCTATGCAGTCCTGAACTCACCAACCACAGCTCCCCTAGACCCTCATTCATGCTCCACAGACACATTTGTTCTGGAATGCAGCCATGAATGAGAAGTGGTTGTTTCAAATGAAGGCTGTTTCTTAATAAACATGAAAATCCGTCCTGGAAACCCACTGATTTTTTTCCTGAGTCAGGAGCAAATGAGCAGTGCCTGGTCTCCCCAGCCCCACGGAGACCATCAGATCAGGGGAATCTCCTCACTTGCCACTTTATCTCTACCAAGGCCTCTACCACTCAGAGTCACAAGCCGGGGGGCCTCACTGCTGTCCCTGCTGCCCCTCACTCCCACACCCCCCCCCCCCGCCATCAGTGCCCCAGCAGGACAGCTTGTCTTGTGCTGAAGAGCAGTGCACACATATGACCTGAGGCTCCCCTGGGTAAAATGTTAGGCATGGAAATGATGAGCCAACCCCCAGCCCACCAGGGGGCCACATTGTGGTGAGGACAACACAGAGGAAGAGACCATCACAATGCAATGATCTGGGTTAGGCGGCTAGAAGTGGGCTTTGGAGGCCAGAGAGGGGAGTGTATGACTGCGGGCTGAGGGGGAAGCTTCCTGATGGAATGGGTGCTGGACATTAAAGGGTGAGCAAGAGAGGCTCAAGTGGAGAGGAGGGAAAGAATTCCAGACAGAGGAGAAATCCCTGTGCAGAGGCTCAGGAATATGGAGAGAGTTTAGTGTGCACAGGCAATCATGGGGATCTTCCTGTTGGCCACACCAGGAGGAGCGAGGGTCAGGTGGCCAGAGATGAGATCAAGAGCAGCAAGATACACAGGGACTTGAAAGACGTGGACAGGAGGGTAAACTCTTGGGTAATTGGAGTTTGAGCAAAGGAACTCTGACTCCATGTACGTTTTGGAACTCACACTATGGCAGATGAGAATGGTTGAGAGCTGCAAAGCAATGTTGGAGAATTCATTAGGAGGCTTTTGCAATAGGGCAGGGGAATTGACAAAGCCCTTTGTTATGAGGGGGAGGAGGATATAAAGGAGGGGAAGGATCTGAGGAAAAGGAGATGGAGCTGACAGACCATGTGTTGTGGGATACAGAAGATGTGACTCGCAGGGCCTGGCTAGTGACAACACAGGGTGTCGAGGGAGTTAAGGACTGAATTGTGTTTCCTAGACTTGTCAAGCAGGAGGCCAAAAGGAAAAGCAGGCATGATGGCTGAGCGGGGAAGTAACCAGGCTGCAGCTGGCGGAGCAGGGAGAGAGGAGAGCCACCAAGTGTGACTCCGCTTTGGAAAAGCTTGGCTGGAGAGTGGAGAGGAGAGGACCTCCCATACAGAGATGCCAGGGGGCAGTGTTTTAGTTTTAAAATGGCAATGACATATGCACGTTTAAGTGGAGAAGCTGGAGTCGGGAAGAGGGTGAAGTTGAAGGTCAATGGAGCAAGGAGATAATTGAAACATGGGGGGTTAAAGGGTGGGGAGGGATGGGTGGTCACTCCCTTAGACATCCTTGTCTCTGCCCCTCTGCCCAAGGCTGCTTTCTGAGTGACAGCTCAGGATGGCCTAAGGATGCAATAAGATAACATTGTGAAAGGATTTGCCCCACATCTAGCGAAGTGCAAGCATTCAGTGAATGTATTTATTACAAGTAGGAGAACCAGTGGTCTGTGGCCAAGGCTGGGCTGTCTGCTGTGAACGGGAGATAGGCAGCAATGACATTGACCACTGGGTGCTTGTGGTCTGAGTCTCATCAGTCTGAGCAAACAGATGTGTCCCAAACAGGTAATGGCCAATACAGATGTTAACTAGGAGTGCAGTGTGAGGAGAGAGGCTGGCCAGGCCCAGTGCTGACTGCCCTCCCAGTGCTAGCTGTGTGCTGATGCCTAAAGAGATGGATGTCTATCCCTGGGCAGATGGGTGGGGAATTCTTAAATGCTATTTGCAAGACTTCAGTAGAAATGCTTCATGAATCCTGCCCTGTCACAAGCATGCATGCGAGTTGTGCTTTAGCTCAGGCCTAATGGGCTTTATATAGTACAGTACTGATTTTCTTTCATGTTTTAATAGAATTCGATTTAATATTTGCTTTCTGCTCTAGCTGCTGGCTGTTGACTGATTCAACACAGAATCCTTCCCTGGTGCCCCCCGACCTTGTTGTTATTCCCTCATTTTGTGTGTTGGCATTTGATTCCTGTCTCCAGCATGAACCACTTTACACATGTCTCCGTTCAGCTGGCGACAGTCACGTGCATGAATTCTGAATGCATTACTACCCGAGCGGCTGCTCCAGCAGACCTGGCATTCAGAAGGGGCAGAATTCATTTCCATCAGTTAGACATTGGGGAGATGCAGAGCTCGGCTTGAGAACCTGGGACTGTGATCTGTTGTGTTCTTGGGCAGAAGATTCTCCAACGTAATCTCAAAATACCCAACACTGTGGCCATTAATCCAGCAACATTTTGCCCTTCTGTGAAGTACCAGGCTTCCTAGTGTTTTCACCAAGGCATTTCCACCTGGGCCAGAGTGAGAACAACAGCCGTAGACAGCTGGCCAGAGGGAAGAGGCTGCCCTTCTCGAGTCCCAGGGAGCCTGGCTGGTTTATAGGAGAGAGAGTCTGTTCAAATTTCACATTATCCTACCACTGACATTTGGAGTTCCCTCTCTGTATAAGTTTGGGCTTGGAGATAGCTTTTCCCTCAGTAGGAAAAGGTAGTCAGTTTCACAGGGCAGCACAGGGCATTGGTTAAGAACGTAAGCGTTGGAATCAGGCAGGTATGTGTGTTCATACTGGCTCCCGTTCTTATAGACCTCAGGATCTATAGCCAGTCCCCATTTTCAGCTTTAGTTTCCCTTTCCATAAAGTTGACTTAATGGTTGCATCTTCCCAGCAAGTCTTATAGGGGGATTGAATGCATGCAAAACAGCTAGCAGAGTGTCTAGAACCTTCTCTATGCTCTTCTTGTGTCGTGGGGTTAAGTGCAGTG